ACGGTCGGTCAAATGATTCACTGTTATGTCAACCGTGGCGTCTCAAAGATTGTTGTTTAAATAGTATATTGCCACTTCTGGGGGTAACCCACCTTCATAAACCAATCACACAGTTTATCAACCCCAGTTTGATGTTACATCACAGTGCATGCTTTCATTTATTTAGACTTGTTCATGCCAATATATATAATTGTACATACATGCGCATAATTATGTGTGTGTATCAGTATAATTTTATATATACATACCGTACCCATTATACCCGCCAATACCTATAGGCCTATAGGATAAGAATCACCCACCATTACCACGTCCGGCATGTCGGATCTGGATCTGAGTCATGGCATGTGTGCTTTGCTTCTGGCTGCCAGGAGCTCGGGGGGTGGGGAAAGGTCCTCGCCAAGAAGAATGGAACACATATTGTAATTTAACGTGTTCAAAAACATGTACACATGTATGTTTTATATATATATATGTATATATATATATGATATATATATACTATATATATATATATGTATATATTTATATAGTATATATCTATGTAAACTTTGATATATGCAGTAAAAAGGGCAATAGGTAGTTGGTTTTTGTCATCCTAGTTCTGTAGTCGCATGAGGAGAAGAGCTTAGGCGATCAAAGGTGTCTTTTGTTGTTTTTGTTATTTTTGTTGTGCCCAATCTGCACTGGAGGATGTATCCAAATTGTTATGTCACCAATTTTGTTTGGCTGCTTGCTAAAGCAGTTGCTTTTCGACTCTCAAACTGGATTGTTGGATGCTTTAGAATGACCAGAAAGGCGCGGCCTGCTTGGGACCGTGAATCGGCCCCTTGTCAATTGCCAGGAGTGGTGCTGCAAACACCCTGAAGGTGCAAGCATTCGGTTGCGAGACACCGCCAGTATGTACCAAAATGGCTCTGGAAAGCGCCAGTCACCATGTTTAAAGGTAACTCAAACTTCACTTAATGGGCCATAAAATCCAAAATCCATAGCTACATGTTTCTTTACTGGTGGGTAGATAGTTCCCTTTGATGCGCGCCTGTGGCAGTCCAGGTGCTGCTTGAGGGCAAAGCGGATGTGGATGTGAAGGCCTCGCGATCCTGGTAGATTTCGCAGACAGGTAAAAGGGAAGCCATGTATTTTTCAAATATAACAATATAACATTATATAATAACATCCAACGATATAGGTTGTGGATGTTTAGACCATTGTTCATAATGTTTTTGACATATATCATGTGTATATATATATATATACCAACGTCTTTTTGACATGGCACTGCAAGGTAGAGATCAGTTTCACCCCCCTGGCACAGTATTTATGCATGATTACGTTGGATTCTGCGCTCAGCCTGTCTGGCCTGCGCTTGGCCAAAAAAAACATATATATATATATATTTAGGCATATATACATATATGCCCAGGTGTATTTATCGGAAACCAGAGCTTACCGCGGTTTGATTTCTGTTGATTATTGTGTGTTGAAGAATTTGTTTCTCCAATGATGTCGTCAGGTGCATTGCTCATTTCTTTGTGCAAGCATATGTACAATTGTTTATTCATTGGTTGTTTACTGGTGTATCAGTATAGATGCAACTGCACTGACAAGATTGCATACGTAGTTTTTCATATACATATCATATGTGCTACCTCAATGTATTTTGATTAAATTTGATGGCAAACCATATTCAAACACAGAAGAAACCTTCGTGATGCTGTTGGTGGAGCTTGACGGAATGTCACAAAGTTGAACCCTGACAGCAGCACTCTTGGATAAATCATATGGAAACCCAACACATGTGTTTGGAACATGTTTTCTTTTTGGACGTTCTCATTTTCTTGGGATTGATTTGTTAAGGTTTTTTTTGGGTGTTGTACCCATTCTTGTTGGAATTGAGGCATCGGGGTTTGTTCTGATCAGTTTTAGCCACGCAGCCAGCATTAAGTTCAACTTGACCTTTTGTTTGCCTTTTTCCTTGCCCCTGACTCGAGTTTTGATTTTCCAAGGTGATGTAAGTGAGTTAACGGAGTGAACCGTGTCATGTTTAATTTGGGATTTCGGCTAGAAAAGCTCCAGTCAGTCCTTGGCAATCATTCTGTGCAAAGGCCACCCTCTCACTCCCTCTCTCTTTGTCATTGTTGGTTGACCAGACCTCCAACATCCTCCAACTGTTTTAAACTGAGTCACAACTATGTTTTACAATATGTTAAATATTGTTAAAGTGACAACAGTTTGATATGTTTTTTTTATTATACCATTTAGTATCATGTGAGGTTGTCAATCTTGAGTTTTCCAGCAGCGTGCAGGGTGATGGTGTCACTGCATTGATGCATGCTGCGGGAGAGGATCATGCTGACGCTGTTGAGGCGATTTGGCATCCAGCAGAAATGTCTGAATTTGGGGTCAGGGAAAAATGGTTGGGACCAGCACAGGGGTTTCATTCCAATGTATTCCAAAGTCAAATTTACGGACTGTAACCAGTAGAATTTAACTCAGTTTAACCAAGGGAAATGAGGACTTAGTCAGCGATGTCATTCAGTTGTCCAATGCTGCAATGATTGAATAATGACTATGTTATAGACCCCGCCTATTGATGCACTGCGGATTTATCTATCCGGAATTGACCTTGGGGTTCAGCAGTGACAAATGGGGCTATATCAGCCTTGGAATATGGTCTTCACCAACGCAAATGGAGCTTGATTCCATGGAGAGAAGAACAGCAAAGATACACGAAGCAATGCGAGAATGGGGACATGAAAACGCTGCATGGCTTCGGAAGCTTATTCTGATTGTTTGGACCTGAATTCCTGGACGCTCTTGTCATCGAAGGCCTAATTATAGCTGTTGCTAGCTGACTAGCTGTTCGATTCATGGTCATGGTTGAGTTGCAATCGTATTTTGGAATTCGGATCCTAATGCCTTGTGGCAATAAAGCATGGCCGGCTGGAAAACCACCTCTTTTGCGGGAAAGTAGATGAAAGTAGTTGAAGTTAGCCCAAACAGGATCAACATGGATATAAATCCTTATGCTATTGAAGCTAATCTGCTGGCGTTTCCATGGCCAGTCTAGTTTCAAAGAGAAATTCTTCGGGCTGGATGAGCTTTGGAAGCACCCCGTGACAGCAGGTTCTGCTGCAACATGGTGCGAATGTGGACCTGCAAGATCGAGGCGGCTGCTAGCGGCTAGGGGCCGGAGACACCACAGCGGTGTTTCAACAAAAAAAGATTTGAACTGAAAAAGCAAACGTGTTTTAACGAAAATCGTTGGTGTCAACCAAACCAAAAACAATGTGATGTCGCAAATCTCGGGTTTGAAGCCACCAAGTATTTCGGATTAAACCCACATGGATGGTCCTCATAGGATAGGATGACTTAGGTAGGCCTGCTCAGGGAATGAGGTACAGAGTTGTTGTGGTTTTCCCGGACTGTGTTTCATGTGCCCTCCTGACATCTCCTGACCACCAAAAGACATCAAATCTGACAGGTAAGGTGGATAGTCAGTCAGTGTAATCACATGGGTATTAGTCGGGTATGAGTCAAAATTGAAGACTCTGTGACTCAGATTTAAGGCAGACTCACAGTTGTGCGGAACGGACTGGGAAGACATCAACTAACATTAGGAACAGGGTGCTGCCCCGTTAAGTTGGCTAATAGCCTCATCCAACTATACTTACAATCACCAGAAGCAGTCATAAACTCTAGTTTTGGTACTTATAAACCAACTTAGCTTGGAGCACCGGGGCACCACCTTGTAACAATACATCTTTTCTTGTTGATACCGCAGTATGACCCCGGACTCATCCGCCAGATGGGCAGAGCGCCTTGATGTATGCCACGCAGAAGAATGCCACGATTCGACCGCGGCACAATTTCGCACCCATGGTCGGGAGACATGGCGGGCACGGCGGAGAATGGGAGTGTCAGTGGCGGGCCGGAAACAAAGATAGACAAGTATAAAATCCTACAAACATTGTACAGCAATGAACTACTTTCCTTTTTGTTTGAGGGTTACTATGTGTGCGCAATTTTGTTTGAATGGCAGGGTCGGGCGGAATGGTTAGAGCATCTACGATCAAAGGTAAGTCCTGTAACCCTTCAGTTGGCTGACTTGGGCATGTTGTGTGTTTTTTTTATCCTCCGTTTCCATAGGCAAAGCCGTATCTAGGGATTCACCCAATTCCTAGTTGAAAGGCGAAACGGCTACGATGCGTTTTTTCTTGCGATTCCCAGAGAGGTACCTCGAGTTCCTAGTTATGATCATGTTAGTTACTATAGACTAACTAGTTAGCATCACTGTTATCAGTCATTATAATGATAGTTAATGAGCACAGCAGAATTGATATTGGTACCACCAGCACAGCTTTACGTCTGATGGCCCCACATGGATGCTGACCTCGTGCTACATGACTCCCACATTTATTTCGGAACATCCATGGAGATGGGGCCAAATGAAAATCATACAGTGGTCTATTTCAGCAAGTTTCGTCAAGGCAACGGTGCACACCTGCAATTCCGGCCAATTTTATCTTTTTTTGGCGATGTGCACATGTGCCGCGAGTGCCAGTCGCTGAGGTGGAGTACATCAACAACTGTTCGCATCTTCCATCGGCCACTGGAATTGAAATAGCTGCAGGACCCAAACCTGCACAGATTACACAGGTTTCCAGTTGGGATCTGTTGTTTAGATGTGGCATCATTTGGACAGTTGGAAGTGCATGCTCTTGCCACTGCCATAGATTCTACATGCCCCCCAGTATAAGTTGATTTATAATACTATAAACCCATATAAGTATAGATACATCTAAACCACCAAAATAGTAAAACTGCATTTGAAAAAACAACTGTGAACAACTTACCTATCTTGGCAGCCCCCACATTGTTGATGGTTCGATTTGAGGTCATGGATCTGCTCTTGGAAGCGCATGCCGATTTGGCCCCTGGGCTGTGGATGGGAGCCATCCAAAATGGTAGGAAAGCCACACGTGCCATGGTCAAAACATGAATGTAGTTTTCCACATTGGGGAATGGTCATCAACCCATTCATGGGGATGCATGAGGCGGATGACCATATACCATGTGTTGATGGCTTCTGCACAACGCTGGAAGCTATCGACTTCAGACAGTCAGGTTTGATATGAGCACACACGGAGTTTTTGCAGGCAATTGTGCCAGTGACAGATTGGGTAGGCGGACCTTGCTGTCCCAGTTGTTGCAGCCCAAGAAGGTTTGTCCAAATTTGCTTCAGCATGGTTCCCCCTAATTCCATTTTCCCTATGTTGATGCCCGTTTTGATTGTTGAACTTGCCTAAGATGTTGAAGCCAGTTGAAGCCCAACTAAGTATGAATCGGATTGTTGTTCCCTTAAACGATATAATTATATATGTATATATATATATAAATAGATAGTCAGGTTAGTCATGGGTTGATCATTTTTTCCTGTCAAATGGCAGACCCACTCAGGATGTCGAAGACCAGCCCCAGATCAGTAGGGTTTTAGATCAGTAGGGTTTTCAGCATTCCCCAGAAATCAGAAAGAAGATGTTTCCTGAAAAAAAAAAGAAGGTGTTGGAAACATTTGAGAAAATTGGGGTAGGTAAACTCTCTTGTAACAAGCACTTGCCACTTGCCACTTGACCAAGTGCCTGTTGCAAAACCCCTTGGAAAATACTATTGCTACATTGCTGAATACTTAGTTGCATTTTGCTTAAGTGTGATTGCCTTAATTTTCCTGATTGACTGAGGTCTGGTATGGGCAAACTTTCTGCCCTGGGCACTTGATCGCTGGAATACTTTCCCTGCACTTGGCACTTGATCACTTGATAATTTTAAATTCTTTTGCCTACCCTAAATTTTCTCAAATGTTTCCAAAAACTTCTTTTTTTTTTCAGGAAACATCTTCTTTCTGACTTTTGGGGAATCAAGGCAATACTAAAGCATATTTATAGATTTTTCCTATTAAACAAAAAAATCCAACTGATCTAGACCCTACTGATCTAGGGCTGGTCTTTGACATCCTGACCCACTTGGGACCAATTCCCCGCACCCAGGAGTTGCGCGATAAGAAGGGCAAGCGCGCTTTAGATCTTGCAGGACAGATGCCGGGGATGCTGGTGATGCCGGTGATGTGCTTGCAGGAAAAAGAGGGGCTACGTATAGCATCGTATAGAGCCATTAACCCCCAGAAAAAGGGGACAGTTTTTTACAACTACTGTAGTAGTTTCGTGCTAGGTTTTGAGCGTTCTAGCTTTGTGGGTGTTGTTATGCGACTGACTTCTAAGTGATTAAATGTCAGTGCCCGTCGTTCCTTGCACAGGAGCAAAGGCACATCACTTGCTGCTGACATACCACAATCAGTTGGAGTTGAGGAGGCTGGAGATTGAATGTCTTGATCCAATAGTAAGACAAAGCAAGACATCCAGGAGGTTGGTACCAGGAGGTTGGTACCAGGATGCTGACGTACCATCATCAGTTGGATATTGGTTCTCTGCAAACAGGATCATTGGTTCAGTGGACGGCATGAACCACGCCCAGGGTTGTGTGAGGGTGGCTACTTGATAGGGGCTTCACTGGCCGAAGCCCATGAATTTCCTAAATGATGATTTACAGTGAGAAAATATCGATTTGATGGCACGGCAAATCAGGTCGGAGATTCCTTATCCAGACCCACGCCAAATATTACCCATCATATAGGTCCGGTCCAGCCTTATCAATTCGGAAGGCCTTTGGTTTTTGTATACTTTGACACTTTGCACTGTGTGCCCAGTCACATATCATAGGGAGTCTGCCACCCCACGAAGGTGGCTAATAAGTCCTTATTACAGAGTGGTTGTTGGTGGTAAGGAAGCCCTTCCTGGCATGTTGCTGACTGAATCCCGATGAACATTCCCATACCATCCTGTACCAAAGAGTGATGTTCCATGATTCTTAATTGCCGTGTGGATGCTTAGCCATAGACGTAAAACTGTCCACACCTCACCAGTCTTTTTGTGAAAAACAAGTGTTGTCGTCCATAAATCAAATCACCTTTCCTGATCAACACCTCCATTTTGTTTGGTAAGTTCACGTCCCAGGCAGCAGCCGCCCGTGCGTCCCAAAGCCCCTGTAACGGGGGCACCGGCTGCGCCTCTTTCGCCTCCGTAACGGAGAGTGTCCAGCGCTAGCCCATCCTAGAAGGATTATGGCAACGAGGATATAGACAGCAGGGATTTATATAGCCTCTGGTCAAATAACAGTTTACTAGGAAGATCCAGGAAGTCATGGCCTATTTATTTGAATTTGTTTGTGCCTTCACTGTGACCTCACTGGAATCATGGTGTATAGGGGAATCATCCCCAAATGGTCTGATTATTCCAGGTGGATGGAATATTATTTGTTACCCAGATTTATCGATGATATTCGATGATGATGTTGGTTTGATTGTTTGGTACTCATTGAGGTGATCCCAGTCAAAATCTAGAGGCAAACCATGTGGCTTTTACCACGCAAAAAGGTTTCAATTGTGCGTGTTCCAATCAATTCTTGGAATGATCTTGGTCACATATCCCACCATGAATGATGAATATTACATATATGGATGTGTTTTTATGCATATATATATATGTATATTATATATATGTATATTCTATATATATATTTAAATATGCTATATAGATATATATATATATATGTATATTATATATATATGTGTGTGCGTGCATATATCATCAGTATACAGTATATGTTTAAAAATCTATTAACCATTGCCAACCCATAGGTACCATTGAACCTCAGATCAGATATTTTTTTGGGGCCACGCCGTGTTTCACCCCCTGTGGGTTGTGATGCCGGGTTCAAGAGAAACTGTGGTAATGCAATGCTGCTTTGTGTTTTTTCTTTCTCCAAGCTTTATGGTTATGCATCTGATATCATATCATATCATATCCTATCATGTCATATCATATCATATCATATATGCATGCATGCATACCTACATACCTACATACCTACATACCTACATACATAGCTACATACCTACATACCTAGATACATACCTACATACCTACATGCATACATGCATACGTGCATACGTGCATACGTGCATACATGCATACATGCATACATGCATACATACATATATACATACATACATACATTGATACATTGATACATCGATACATTGATACATTGACTTAGCTTGATGTTTAGAGATGTGCGCAATACATGCATGTAAATTAGCACATATGTTGATACATGTGCCTGCAATTTTTTTGGAACCATCCAGGCGAAGCACAAAACAACAACACATACGATATATATATATATATACACATGTATTATTTATATACAATATATTATGTATTCTACACCTTTGCTAAATAATATGTTTTCTATATCTCATATATAGTTTACAGATGTATGCATGCTATTTTGCCAAAAAAAACGTGCTTACTATTTATACATACAAGTGTCCATACAGACACAATACCAGCATTGAAAATAGATTTCTCTTAGACCTAGGTTTTACTCCGGCTTCGCAGGGACATGCTGCATCCAGGTTTATTCGAATTCCGAAGGCTAGAGAAGTTTCCGAAGGGTAGTGGATTGAAGCAGGGCATCTCATTAATTGGAAAGAACTAGTTCCATGAAGCATGAGAGGCGTCTATAAATCTTTCAGAATTCGCCCAGATTCGTGGCAAATCTGGAGGCATCTGTGCCAGGGGCCTGTCATATCCTGAAGGGATCAGTGGCGAGTCCAAAAACATGTGGCATAGAGGTATGAGGGGCGGCCATGGTGGTGCGGTTCGAGGAGGGATGTGGAAGCTCTACAAGTTCAGGATGCAAACCAGTGCATCTATTGGACTCTGTGTCTAGAATGTTCATGTTGTCTCTTTGGTCTCTCCCTCCGCTGGCCTGCTGTTCCGAGAGGCAAAAGACTTGACTTGCTTCGATTTTGGAATGAAGGTTTTGCTTGTGTTGCTAAGAAAGTATTGCCCTCTGGTCAAATAACATAGATCCCGAAAATAACAAATGATTAGTGGAAACCAATCTTCCAACCCCTATCTGGCAGGCTCTATGTTAATTTACTGGAGGGCAACCGTTCCAATGTCCCTGTCCGTTTGCATCATATCCTCATATCCAGATGTTGGCTGGAGTTTCTTCAGCGATATCCCAAAACGTTTTGAACCACAGTTTTTTCCACGAGTTTTGTTTAACCAAATTCCTGTTGTTTGGTTCGTCTTACATGCAAACAGACACTGAGGTTTCGAAATAAATTGATTCCCCAATATCATCCCAAATGGCTCCGTCTTCGGGCTGTGGCTGTTTGACATCTTCACCAAGGACGAACCTGTCGGTTCAGCTGGCTTTGCCAAAGTCTACGAGGATGGGATAGGGTCATGACAGGAATACAAGTCAATAACTGTGATATATAGTTCTGGCCAACAAGCATGGGAAATGTGATAAGAACGTTGAGATCATGAGTAACAAAGCAAGTAGAATCGGGGTCTCGAAGGGGAAAACTACACCAACTGAGGTTTCGAAGAGACCCGGATTGTCCAACCTTTGAAGGTTGAACAGCAAAGCCCAATCCCTGGGGAGCAGCAAGCCGTACACATCCGTATAAAGCGTGCAATGTACATGATGCGCTTCTGCATCATCTTTGAGTTTTGAATCAAAGCGGGTTGATTTGTGGCAAAAATTGGGCACGACTTATTTTGGGGTACGGATTATTTGAGTTGGCATGATTGTCAACGTTTTTTGAGTGTTGAGCATGTAGTACCACTGCTCACAACAAAATTGTGCAAATGCTTTCAATTTCATATACATGCTATTACATTGTGATTAAACCATGATATTCCGTTTATGAACCACCCAACACATACATGTAATTATAATTTTATCTTGTTTGCTCCCGTGATGTTTTTTCAGAGGGGTAGGTCAACCACCAACCAGATTTTATCCAATGTGTTTCCCATGTTTTCCCATGTTCTTCCCGTGAAGTTCCAACAAAAGTCAGGACTCACAGTGGCGGGAACCAGAAGATGTGTGGCGGAGCAGATACCATGCCGGACATGCCCAGATGGGTTCCAGCATCGGGACCTCATATGCCTTGAAGTGAACTTGACCAGATATATGGGTATAGTGTTATATATATATATATACATCCACATATATATATATACATGCATATACAAGAATATACAGTTTTTTTTAAAAAAAATATTTACACATGCACACGCACACACACACACATATATATATTTATATGTATATATATATATATATATGTATATACATACATATGCGTGTGTATGTGTGTATGTGTGTATGTGTGTATGTGTGTGAAGATATGTTTTAAAGGGTATGAACATGTGCGAGACATTTTTTAATAGATTATAACATATGTGTCTTATGCCTGGGTGTTTTGATTTACGCTTGTAGAGTGGGTTTTTTCGCGAGATTTTGCGCTAAACGTAGAAGGTAACGCTAAGGGCTGCAGACTTGCACAGAAGGGCTTTTCAACCCCATGGCTGGTGATTTTGGATTTTGATTTTGATGAACATGATTTTCATGACCTGGTGAAAAAAACAGTGTGAAATCACAAAAAAACACGTAGACATTTAGTAGACATGGCTAGATTTGGCTAGGTAACAGCAGGATTTCATAGTAAACAGGATTCCTCAGACCTGAAATGATGTCCTGGGTGTGGCTGAAAAAAACATGGGATTCATATATAGACAGAGCCTTAGTCGTATGTTTTTTGCCTGAATAATCAGCAAGTACAGTACGGAATACAGATCAGTTTTGGTATAGATGAGAAGCATGGGGTTAAGTCAAAAAACACACAAACGATCCAAATGGGTCAAACAAATCAAAAACTGTAATATATGATATGTATGAAGGCACACAAAAATGTGAAAGAATTCAGTTCCCAAACAATGCCGAAACAAAACAAAACATGTTTCTATGCAACAATTTTGAGAGTCATGCAGTCTTCGCAAGAGTTTTCAAAACCAGTATTAGCACATGTTCGCGCATGGAAGTGTCTTGACGGGCATGTTGAGAGTAAATAGCTGTGGTCACCAATAAAACGTATTTCTGTGGCCTTCAGGTTCATAAACTTCTTGGTCTCCACGCTCAAGTTTGGACTGAGTTTCAGACTTGGGTTCAGCTACAAGTTTTTTTGGTTCGAGGTTCATGGGATGTTCTGGCCTTAAAATTTACTTTTTGTTGGTGGTTCAGGATCATAGATTCTTAGGGTTTCAGGTTTCAGGTTCATACATTTCTAGGAAGTAAAGGTTCCCAGACTACTTCGGAGCGTTAAATTTTATTTATTGGAGTTTGAAGTTTCAGATTTTTTTTGGCTCAGGTTCCTGGAGGTTTGGATCTCCAGGTTTATGTTTTTTTTGTTCATACACTTTGGGGAGTGTACCGTTCAAGGCATCTAGATTTTTGGACCTCATTGTTAATTGATTTTGTTGTTCCAATGTTCATCGTTTTTTTGGTTTTGAACGTGATCGATTTTTGGGCTTCAAGGATGATTTTTTTGAGGTTTCAGATTCATATTTTTTGTAAGGGCTTTCAACTTTTGGAGCAGTAAGTAAGGCTTTGTTTTTTTAAAACTTGGGTTTCAAGTTCTCAGAATTTTTGAGTTTCCTTCAAGTTCCTAATTTTGGGGCCTTAAGTTTTATAGATTCGTGGGCCTTCTGGTAAATCGATGTGTGGGGTCTAAGGTTCATAACATGTTGGACCTTTAGCATCATAGATGTTTTGGGTTTGAGGCTCACATTTTGAGGGCTTTAGCATGTTTCGTCTTTAAAATGAATTTCATAGTTTGTTAGGCTTTACGGTACATAGTTTCGTGATGTTTCGTGGGGTCCCCTGTTCATCACATTTTGGCTCTTAAGCTTCATAGATGTTTAAGGTTTGAGGCTCACATGCTTTTGGGGTTTGGGGCCTCTATTTTTTAGGGTAAAGGCTATTAAGTCTTTCAAAATCCTAGATTTTTGAGCCTTGCTATCAATAGATTTCAAGGGCTCAAGGTTCATAATCTTGTTGGGACTAAAACTTGATAGATGTTTGAGGTGTGCGACTGCGACTCACACGTTTGAACGGTTTTGGGTTCATAGATTTTGCGCCTCAAAGTTCATCGACTTTCCCGTAAAATCTACACACCAAGTCTTCAGGCAACGGCTGGTCTGCCCGCCAACTTTGGCCAACAGCAGCCCTGCCCCTCAATACAT